ATGTCCAACAAGCATCTCAACCGCTGCTGGGTAACCATTGATGAATTAAGAGCCGTGTATAAAGGATGCTGCTCCGAAAGTCGAATGGGTTCTGAGGGACAAGACAGTGTGTGTATCATAGTGAGCAGAATGGGGATGGTTATCAAAAAGCAGCTTGTTAGTGAAGGCAGTGTGCTGTATATTAATTAGGGCCCCAGCTCTGGGGATGTGATTGGTTAGAACATGACTGCTGACACGCCATAATTTAGAGGACATCTGAGAGACTTTATTTAAGTTGCACAAATGCTCTCTCTCTCTGTTTCTCTCTCTCTCTCTCTCTCTCTCTCTCTCTGTCAAACATACACTTAAAGTACACTCACAAACACTGTCTTCTAAAACTGTTCATATACAACAAATCAGCAAATCAAAATTACAAGGAAAGATTTATAGTGAATGTGTCTGCAAAATGTTTACTGCTGGAGTCAGGGGGGCCCCCATGTTTAAAAAAAAAACGCAGCAAAAGTGCCCTCTTGAATGCCCCTATGGTAGATAAAACATAGTAAAGTGCCTTCCAGGGTGCCCTTTCAATGGAGAAAACGGGATCAAATGCCTTTAGTATGTCCCTTCATGGAATAAAACACCAGTTTCAGTGGACAAAACCCCTCTAGGGTGCTAATACTAATCCTGAGTAAGATGTTAAACCATAAATGCATCACAAATTTCTGCGCACGTTTCTTTCTTGCCACCACTGCTCTCAACCGTGGCCTGGATTAGCATTAGGATGGCCCATGGGCTACATTTTATGTTTGGGCCCCCTGCCCTCTGTGCATTGTATATGTACTGTACGTACTCTGTCAACTCCAAACTACCATTAAAGAAAAAAAAAAAAGTTATACTGCATCACATTTTCTCCATTTTAGGGGAACCTTAGGGCACTGCATTATGTTTTCTCCACTGGAAGGGCACCGTGGAGGTGAGTTTATCATGTTTTGTTTCATCCAAGAGGGGACTTTCGCTGCATTTGCTGCGGTGCGGTTAAGTCCTGGGGGGCTGCAGCATGCTTTGACCTGTTAGGGTTAGGGTTAGACCTGTAAATGAGTCAATGTATTTAATTTGTTTTCCTACAGTATCTACTCCTGACAATCAAAATGTATTTGGCAGAGCAAATTAGTAATATACAAATGGGTTCCACATGGTCTTTTAGGGGTTAGAGCTTTGAAAAACTGGCTGTTGACTGCACTTTCTTTGTGATTATCCCTATTTAATTCATGTTCAAAATATTTTTTAAGCTTCATTCTTATTTATTACAAAGACACATCAAAGCCACACAGATTATATACACACTGTGAGCATTTAATAAAAGAATCACAAGTTTACTAGTGTGCTCCCAGTTTGCATCCGCTGATAAAAAAGCGAATGAATGGGACCTGATATAATAAGACTATTTTGTCAAACTATTTCTAAACTATTTAAGGTCAATAATATACTTACAAGCTCTATTGTTAATTGTCTGTACCATTCTGTGTGTGACAAAGACTACCTATTCTAAAATAATAACATAGACCTTTTTTTCTTTTGATTGTAGCTAAAAAACTAAAAAAATAGTGTCCTCTCTTCCGGGTTTCATGTCCAGAACCTGGAGAGAATGTAATATTTCAATGGACTATCGGAAAATCACAATTTGGATCACCAAGTGTCAGAGCTTGTAACAACATTCGTTTGTTCACATTAAGTTTTTTCAGGCCAGATTCTCATGGGACAAATGAATTCCATCCAGTGACCCAGTCTGGATCGCAGTCTCATCTGCCAGCATCTGCTGGAAATACAGATATAGGGACTTTGGGGCGCAGATGTAGTTTGATTTGCTTTATTATCACTGTTCAAAATGCAAACCCTTTTGAACAAACAGACAGACATCAGCTGTTGTCTGCTGTCTGTTCCTGTAAAGGGGATAGTTAAACAATATATTCCCATGGTTACTGTCTTGCCACTTTTAATTGTTTTGTATCCACATTGTGTCTGCCAAATGTATTTTAGTTTAATTTAACCCTGACCTTAAAATGTAATAAGATTTTTCTTTCCCTCTCAAAAAAAAATTGTTATGCAAGCCAGCCCCTCTAGAGAGTAATTTATTATCCTTTTGCCTGCCTTCTGGTTGCGTTGCCTTTGTTTCCTCAGTTAATCTTTATATCTATTGTTTCTGATTTATGTAGACTACAGGTGCAGTGTATTAACATGTTGTTGTGCCTATTTCACTTCCTCTAGATAATCCAGGGTTTAGATGATCAGAACAATATCAGGAAAACTGCTGAAAACCATCAGTCACAACTTCTCTAAATCTGAAGCAGTTTCACCCTCAGAATGTGCTGTGCTACCTTTAATTTAACATGACTGTCCTCCCAAGAAAAACAACAGCATCTGTCGTTGGTGCTAACACCTAATGGTGGGCAATAATTGCATACATATTGGACAATTCTGCGCATCACAACTGCAGTCAGTTCAGTGCCAACGCAGGAAGTGCCCTGCTGACTTTATGAGCCTTGCAGCAAGAAAGGTCCTCGACTCTTTTTAAATTCCTGTCTGCTCTGGAAGTGCGATTGTATTGCATTGTGTAGGTGGACATCTGCTGCTTGTGGTCACCTTTTAGCAAATATCTGACAACTTTTGCATTAAATTGTTAAGGACTGCTAGAGCTGGAAAGAAATACTTTCTTTCATGGAAGTCTCACAAACATCGGCCGATATTTATGTAGCAGCTAATTTGATCGGTTCCGACGCACAGTGCTGGGATCAGCTGTTCATGTTATATACTATAATAATATGATATTTCAGTGACAGTGACAACTCATTTAGAACACACTCAAGGGCATATTATTTGTATTTTTTACAGTATAGTTAAGGATCTGGATACTTCCTCCAAGACTGCACAGTAATGTCATGGATCAGATGTTTATGTTTAGATGCCAGTTAGGAAAGACATTACATTTCAAAAGCATGTGGTTGAGCTCTAATCTAATAAATTCTCCATCCTCCTCCTCATCTTTTAACAACACACGTAAGGGAGGTGTAGGTGGAGGCCAACAGTTTAAAGCTCTGTATCGCTCTACATTCTCCAGAGACTCTGCCACTTTTTTAACGAACCAATCAAACCCCTGCAAGATCTGATCAAATCCCCTTGAACTGACACTTTTCCTGCATATTTCGCTTATCTCTGACATAAGTCACAGCACAGAAAGCTATCACAGCTGTCATTTCAATGGGACTTTAAAAGCAGTCACAAACAATGTATTGTGTCCTTTAGTTTGGAGGACTTGCAGCCTGTGGTCTGTGTCCTTTCTATTGATTAGTATACACTGGGAGCTTTGAATGTAACAGTTAGGCTAACTTGATACAGTTGTTTAGATTGCTCATATAAAGGTCACTAAGGATACAATACATCAAACAAAGGCTGGAAGGCTAGAAACATTTCGACCACTGACTGCAAAATTTCCTCCACCTTCTTACTTTTAATACAACAGTTATTAGTTTTTTGATCTTCAAAGAATCCCATTATTGTTTTAAAGAACCAGTGTGTAGGATTTCATTTCATCAAGCAGTGAGATTGCAGATGAAACCAACTACAACCCCCAGACTCACAAGTGTGCAAGAGAAAGTACATTGCAGTGAAACTCTCAGGAAACGTGAAAGTCCCTATCTAGAGTCAGTGTTTGGTTTGTCCATTCTGGGTTACTGTAGAAACATGGCTGTTCAATATGACGGCCCCCTCCCAAGAGGACCTTCTCCCTCTGTAAATAAAAACAGCTCATTCTAAGGTTACAAAAACACAATGATTCTTATTTTCAGGTGATTATACACTAATGAAACATAGCTATGAATATTAAATTCCATTTCTGACAATAGATCCTCCTAAATGTTACACACTGGACCTTTAACACAGGCTGAATGCTTTTTGCACCGATTGATTTTTGCACTACATGGTGACACAATAGCTTTGGATACACTGTGTCCTTGTTGTCTTGAGGAATCACATTTCAACTGATTGAGTTGACTTCATTCAATTTGTGCCCTGGCACCGGCCCCTTACATCAGGTACAATCACAGCTCAGAGTGGGTCTCTGTCTGAGACATCCGAGTGTTTATTCCTTTTAACCCTGAGCTTTAAAGTGATCTTTTCCTTCTTTATCATGTCAACACACATAAGTCAATCTTGTAACTTGACTTGAGGGAGGCTCAAGGTCAGATTCAATCCACAAACTCTCATGAAGTATTGATTTTCCAATCCAACAAATTCCAACAAGAGCTTCTCTTCATCCCCGTATTGTGCTCATTTGTTTCTGTTTCTGTCCTTTCTTTCTCTCGGGCTACATCTAAGCATCCCAGCCTTCATTTATGCATATATTTTAACATCAGGCACAGAGGCTTTCTCATTAATGGCCTTTTGCAGTCTCATTTATTATGTTGTGTTTAATTTGAGCTTCATCATCACAAAGCAGCCTCAACGTTGAGGCGCGCCATGCAGGGCTTTTAAACATTCCATTTCCACTAATGAACTATTTATTTATTTATTTTGTCCCATTCACAGCTAAAACTTTGTGGGAGGGAAAATCTTTCCCAGCATTATTTTCCATGCTTGCAGGCTCCTGTTTATTCTCTTTATTCCATACAAAGGTTTTCATAGTCGGCGTGAAGCCACGAGACCTTGCTGAAACTCAGTCAATCTACCAACAGTGAGAAGAGCTGTTTCCAAGTCAAGCTGCTTATGAAGATAACACTGATGGAGTCTTGAAGGCAAACAAGTTCTGACTGTCTCGCCCTGTAGCTTTGAAGTGGTGCCTTTCCCAGAGCGTGATAAGCTCAGCCACTGTATGTGTGTACAGGATGGTGGTGGTGGGGGACTTTCTATCTGCATGCTACTGGGCTTGTAGAGTTAGATATCAATATCCTATCTATGTGTGACCCTCTTTTCCTTTCTCTCATTTTTCCATTCATCTTCTCCCATGTGTCTGTCTGTCCAGCCGGCAGCATACAGAGGTGTGGGCCCGCCAGGTGCGCAGGTGTCTCTGGAGCAGCAGGCCTACATGCTGTTGACAGAGCCAGAGAGGCAGACCATGGCCTACTACCTGCAGGAGTACCAGGAGGGACACATAGGAGTGGAGCCGCTGGCCATGGCTCTGTTTGAGCTCTTCAACACACATGCAAAGGTAGAACACCTATCCAGAGATGTGGACGGTGACTCAGATGTGTGGAATTTTGTACATAAAGGTTTGGATACCGCTTTCTGATAAGGCACCCTTTATAAAGTGTTTATAAGCTGTAAATAATGGCTTTATTAATTGGTAATAACATTTTTTATTTTATAGATAAATTATAAGCCATTAATTATAATTATAATATTTTATAGTCTTTAGAAAATGCAAAGTTAATATTCCCATACAGCCATTAAATTCATACAGGTCCAAAACAAATTACCACGAAAGCTCCGTGTTAACACGAGAACAACTAAACAACAACTAAAGAACGCTACCATGCATTCATAGGAGGCAGGGTCTGCAATTTATTTGTGAAGCAGTTTTTTTTCCAGTGGCTTAAATTAATTCTGACAGGTGTAATGATGCCTGCCATTAAAAAAAAACATTTGGGAATGTAATATACAAGGTAATTGTGTTCTGTCTCCAAGCAGACAAAGATTAGGTGCTAACAGAATACGCAAACCTATATGTTTACCTAAATGTGGCACCAATAGGGCATTACCAAATCATGTGTAAGAAGCTGCCTAAAGCCTTTCCAATCATTCTTTTTATAAGGCATTAACAAGAACAACTTTTGAGTTGCTTTGTTGTGGGAAACCATCCTCCAAGCATGACACTTGGACCGTTCCACGTGCTTCCTGGAAAAGGACTCAAGAACACCTGTTAACACCTATAATTAACATTTACAACTGCAGTCTGGATGGATTACTGTAAGAACCCTTTATCAAAGACTTAACATTTATATGTGCACATAATGGGTTAATAATAAGTGAGAAATCTGAGCACAGATTCAAAGCAGGGAACATGAAAGTCAAACTATGTGTGGAATGCTAAATTTACATGAATTTTGAATCTGACAACTGAATCTTGAATAGGCAACTATAAAGTCAGTGAGCAATGTTTTGCAATCATTCTTAGTGTCTTTATTTTTACATGATGACACATTCAGTGACATGTGGGTAATTTTCCTTTCAAGTTTCCAACCATCATTTTACCAGTTTAGAATTTTTTGGGCCCTTTCTTGATCCCAGAATCATCTAGCAATCAATTTCCACTTGGGTGCAGTAGTTGAATACCTGAGGAAGGTAAGATGGACACCTGAAATACTAGCATTAGCTTCATTAATGTTCAGCCTACATTAAGGAAGACATTGTAAACCTACTACAGTACAGCTGTCATCCTGCAATAGCTTATGATGATGGACAGAAAAACAGAACAATCTGCCTCTGCGCTCAGCCTTTGATCACTGCATTGGTTGCCAGATATTGCAGGAATTCTTATACATTCTCAGTCTCATGGTGCCAAACTGTCTCAGCCACAGATGTACAAGCAAATAGCAGTGCTTGTAATTCATACTTGATGCTTCTATTTCTTATGTTGCAACATTTCATCATGGCTCTTGATTATTGCTGTTCAATTACATTTGTGGTTTTATACATTTAAGACCTTTGTGTGAATCAAAACAGGAGGAACATTAACTATGAGCTGTGTTTTATCGGTTGCCACATGGCATGTCAGTGAGACAAGCCTAAAAGTCATTAAGCTGCTGAACACATGGGAGCTATCTGATATATGACAAGATGTTAATATTAATGTTTCAGTTCAGTTACACTTTTTTGCATTTTTACAAAGTAAAAGATGCACTTTATTGTACTTAAAGTAATTTATCTTCTTTATACACCCTACGTCTTTCTTTACAAAGTGAATCTGCTATGTTTTTTTTTTACACTTTCTCCTCCCAATGAGCAGGTAAATAAGAATGACAATTCTCAAATGTTAACAATATCTACCTTCTCAGGCACTAATACCCATAGAGACCGGAGACCAGGCAACAAACCATGTGGCTACATTAAAGAGTTGTGAAATAAAGTTAGTTTAGAACCAGATGGGACCAAAACTTTTTAAGGTGTATTAACTACAGAAGGAAGGATTCAGCTACAACATGAGTCTTAATCATTTGCTGTATGTGAATTTTATTCTTTTTAAAATGGAAATTATGATCCATTGTGTCTTTGTGTAAATCAGCTATTGGGGTTCCTCTTCTCTCTTAAAGCCTTATATTTTGTAGAACAGTTAAAAATTCTCCCATAAATTTCTTTTTGAATCCAGCGCCACTTTATTGAACATTAAGAGTCATGTCAGCAAGCAAAAAATGAAGAAACAACCTTTAAAGGGCAAACAAGTTGACCTTCTATTTCTGCAGACATATTTTTCAGTTGTTTTACTTACATTTAAGACCCAACATAACCTGGCTAATTACATTGTGTGGGCTTATTTAACTTAAGTCACAATGTGTAGGATTTGAATCATTAGAAAGATGTAGTAATCATATAAAAATCCTACACATAGTAACATTAAAACAGCATAGCCTGACCTCTGTAATTTTCAGCTTTTTCCCTTGTGCATGCTCTTATGCCAGTTTTATTTTCTCTTCTCTTTCCCTCCAGTTGTCCATGTTGTCTGAGGTGAGGAGTCTGGTGGCTCCCCAGGATCTTGAGGTGTACGACAGGCTGGTGTTGCACCGTGAGAGGGAGGCCCACCAAGCCTGGCATGGAGGCCTGGGAGTGCTGCATCCACAGGGCCACTGCAACCATGCAACCCCTGTGATCCATGACGCAGGACACACCGTCCCTGCTACGGTAGATCCCTTACCTAGCATACCTGAAAATGTGACATCCATTGAAATATTGTGTGATATAATTCTTCTATTTTCTTGACTTGTTCCACTTTTAATGTGGCCTTATTCAGAGATGTGTATCATATAAATAAGTCACAATAGTGCACGATAAGCACTGACGGGGCAACTCTCATTCTGGAATTTTAAACTTTCTCAAGGTTATTTTGTACTAATGACCACCTTCTTATTGCATGGCTGCTTACCAAATCATCTGACAACACAAATATTGATTTAAAATGATTTACTACAAGCTGAATATAATTTACAAGCTAAGCCAGTTGGCTGGCACAAACTGCTGCTTGCTAATTTCATTAGCCATTAACAAAATAGACTGCACCTCTGATTGTGGACTGATGTGATTAGATAAAGCAGGTGAAAAGCAGTCTGTTGTTCATTTGAAACATACCTCACAACTTAACAAAGTTGTTAAACAAATGACGCCTTTCTCAGTCTGTGGTTTTGTTTGTACTGGTGTTCTTGTGAACTTATAAAACATCATCAGTCAAAGCCCTGTGCTTTTCCAATTCAAAGTGCACACTTAGTCCAAATGCCTAAAAGAGTTCTGGCTCCGCAGTTTTATCGAGGGTACTTTGGGAGCTGACCCAGCAGGCATTTCAACTTTTACAGTGTCACCAAATAAAGATTTGATCTTTTTTCAGGCAAGATAATGAATTGTTTTAATTTATAATATTTTGTCGATATCAAGCTAATACCCAATCAGCATTCAATGTCATCCCCGGTGGGAACAGTGTTCTCTTGGCAAATCCTCTGGTATTTTACCAGTGGTGTACCTCTGATGTTTCCATAGGATTTTAAAGTGAACATTTTACTTCTGTAAAATTTGTTACGAAAGTTACAATGATTGTTCATCTGACCATCATTAGTTTGGTAAGCAGGCAGTTTTCTGTACCAGGCTGTAAACATGTTTTTTTTCTGCTGTGAAGTTAGGCATTTTCATATGGGGCCTTATGGAGATTGATTCCCTACTGGAGCCAGCCTCAAGTTGCTGTTCGAGGAACTGCCAGCTTTTGGCATTTTCTGTGATGGCTCTCATTTTTCAGTCCAGGAGGCTTGTTTTGCTTGGGGTAGCACTTGAACACAATCACTTCTGCAAGCCCTTTTTTCTTATTGGCACTGCATTAATTTTCACTATTCCTGTTCAAAAATCCATGTCAGACCCTCAGAAGAGTGGCGTGTTCGTGTGGCTGCACGGCAACATCAACATTTCTTTTCCCCATTAGATCCCAGCTTTTCTTGGCATCCCATTCTTTGTGGCAACCAGAGCCAGCTCCGTCTTTGCTAGCAGGACCTATGTAAGTATTGATGTGATTGTTCACTGTGGGCCCCACATCAATCCACAGCGACTCATTCTGCCAGGTTTGTGCTGTTTCTGATGTCGCACTTCCCTCCAAGCAGCTCTGGTCCCTAGAAGAACCAACAGATACAACTTGATCGACAACACTGTTTGGGTTTTTAGAACAACAGCCTGGATTAGTCTTCCTCTTACTCCATTCATTGATCAGCCTGCTGCCTGACCACAACTCTTATAGAGCCCACGTGGCGCTTCTTGGCTGCATTTGTCTCTGTCATGGTTAGCTGTTTCGGTGCTGTATTAAAACTTGCTGGCGAGGGTTGTTTCCGCGCACACCATGAGTCCTGTGTAATTGCCTGTGCGACTACACGTCATTGATTTGTGGTTTGTGAAATTAAGAACCCCTCGATAAAAAGCTAATTGCTTTAATTGACAGTCATTAGTTACTCGGTAATAAACCGTAAGATTCAGTGCTAGCAACAACACATTTGGACATACCATTGTCACCAGATATTTATATGCAGGTTGGCTGCAAAGATTACTCATTTAGAAATAGCCGATAGCTGTAATTATAACATAGCTAGAAACAAGTGGGAGCATGCCAAAGTGTGTTGTGTGGTCGATGTGGGGGGGGGG